TTTCGGTCTCAAAATTCCATTTCGGTGCATCCCTAATATGTATTACAGTTCTTAGATAAGTGAAGCTGTCACAAACCTGGGCAATGGAAACTGAGCACATGATGAATGAAATGAATAAGTGGGGGTCACCTTTAGTAACAACCAAACCATTAGTAAATCCAGAGATATAGTCAGCATGTATCTGTGAAAGAGCCACGTTTACCCTTGGAAGGATGTACGCAAACTCAGCTGCCACCCACACAAATGACATGTATTTCTCATCAAACCCTCTATTGCATCATGGTAATTGGAAGCTAAGCTTGTGTGTGAAAGCTGCTCATGAATTGTCTCTGTTTATATATCTAGAGTTGCATGGGGGGGTATGAATCTCTGTATATGTTATGTTATATATTCATATAATTAGGAATTGTCCATTAGTAATGTATGAGTCAATTTGTGTCAATTAATGTAATTCATTTTTATAATTTTTAGAACTGTATAAATAATTTATAATTGTTGTAATCATTAGTGATTTATGAGGGAACTACTAATTGATACAACGGTGTTTCTAGATCAGAATGATGAAGTTTTATCTTTTTTAGATATAAATGTCAAAAGGTTTTTAACGTTATGGGTTTAAATATATAGAATAGTAAACAATATAGTACTTCATTCATTGTGTTTTTTATAAAGGTCTACGGCAGTTAATTTTCATTAGATTCCCATTGAAGGGGATTAGGAGGACATCTATTGGTGTTATCCAGTTAATTAGTGCCAATTAGATTCACTATAAAAGATAGGATTTTGGTGTGACAGGATAGACCTGCTTAAACCCCCTGAGGACGTCGTAACGACGAAACGCGTAGGGGGCGGGCCTATTCTACGTCATACCAAATACGGAAGTTCGTTGGTACACCATCTAACCGGCCGGCAGAGACTTTGTAACCTTTTTATTGGATTGAAATAAATAACTTTGGAAATACAACACAATGAGGAGCTTTTTCTTTACATGAGTTTTGGAGACATGTCACGCTTTGGATATCGATCAGAACAAGATACAGTGAGGGAGCTGCAGCTCCGTGAGATATTACATAAGCGCTTTCTGGCTGCTTATCACAGCCATCGAAGTACGGTGAGTGCGCGCACGTTGAGGGGAGACTTGTGGTACTTGCCCAAATCCCCAACAACCTTTCACAGAACCCCCGTGATCGGAGGCTTCACAATCAGCACACAGATTGGAGAACGTTTTTTTGTTGTTGCACAGATTGTCATATTAACACACGGACTATTCACAGGGTTTCTAATTAAGTTATGTATTTTTTCACTTATCCATTAACAGAGGTTTATTAACTTATATATCAAGTTTTTATTGATCACGACTCACATCTGTTATGATTTTAAGTTTGACACATGTTGTCTGGGCATGAGATAGCCCTGAATTATAGAATGATTTAGACACATTGAGGTTGACCATTTGCTCACAACCAACCACGGTTGGATAATTAGTAGTCAAATATTAGACACGTACGCGGATTTAGGTCATCACGTAGTTTATTTCACACACTGGTTGCCTATATGATTAGCGCTGCACATCTAGTAAAATCAACGATTGGACTTAGTTGTCTATTGCGCAGCAGCTCTTCCATCACTTTATTTCTTTATCAGTTTATGTTCACTTATTTAGCGCAGAAGTAAATACATAAACTCTGTATATCTAGAGCTGCATGGGAGGTATACCTCTCTTTCTGTATATCTAAACTTGCATGGGGGAAGGGGGGGTATGCATCTCTGTCTATATATCTAGAGTTGCATTGGGAGTGTGTGTCCCTGACTATAAATCTAGAGTTTCATTGGGGGTATGTGTCTCTCTCTCTATATCTAGAGCTGCATGGGGGGTATGTGTTCCTAATTATATCTACAGTTGCATGGGGGGTGGTTATGTGTTCTTGTCTATATATCTAGAAGTTTTGTGGGGAGTATGTGTCCCTGACTATGTATCTAGATTAGCATGGGGAGTATGCGTCTCTGTCAGTATATCTAGAGTTGCATGGGTAGTATGTAGCTCTGTCTATATATCTAGAGTTGCATGGGGGGTTTGTGTCCCTGTTTATATCTAGAGTTGCATGGGGGGTATGTGTCTCTCTCTATATATCTAGAGTTGCATGGGGAGTATGCGTCTGTCTGTATATCTAGAGTTGCATGGGGGGTATGTATCTCTGTCTATATATCCAGAGTCGCATGGGGGTTATGTGTCTCTCTCTATATATCTAGAGTTGCATGGGGAGTATGCGCCTCTGTCTGTATATCTAGAGTTGCATGGGGAGTATGTAACTCTGTCTATATATCTAGAGTTGCATGGGGGGTTTGTGTCCCTGTTTATATCTAGAGTTGCATGGGGGATATGTGTCTCTCTCTCTCTATATCTAGAGTTGCATGGGGGATATGTGTGTCTCTCTCTCTCTATATCTAGAGTTGCATGGGGGTTATGTGTCTCTCTCTATATATCTAGAGTTGCATGGGGAGTATGCGTCTCTGTCTGTATATCTACAGTTGCATGGGGGGGTATGCGTTTCTCTGTCTTTATATCTAGAGTTGCATGGGGGGTATGTATCTCTGTCTATATATCCAGAGTTTCATGGGAAGTATGAATATCTGTGTATATATAGAGAGTTGGAAGGGGGGTTCACTCACTTATTGTTGAGTGTATTAGTTGTGCTACAAAGTGACAGGTCCTCTTACCTCTTGCCAATGCAATATAACTGGAAAATGAAAGGTTTACGGCCAGCTGATGACAGACACATCTGCAGCTCTCCTTCTGATCAGAGTAGGATAGTATAGATTAGGAGGATGAGATCCGTCCCATACCCCCGGGGATTACATTACACATGTACATTACTCAGAGCACACACTGGGTTCAGGAGAATATAGATGATATAAACCAGAACAGAACTCACAGTCAAATTTTACATGACACAGCTGAACGTACAATGCTGTGAAGGGAGGAGGCGGTCAATATGTTTTACTGATCTGTGGTGGTTTGTATGAAGAAATGCTGCGTTTACATTGATTCCACCCAGAAGCCCCATTTTTGTCTTTATGATCAGCTGTATGCAGCACTGACAACAATTTGAAATCATTTACATTTACACTGACACTGTGCTGGTACAAAAATATGAAATATTGAAATAATCAAACCCGCATTGGATCAGAATCTGATAAAAACATATCAACAAATTCTAATTATAAGCCATGATACCTGCGTTGTGTGCAAAATAACAAATATGTATTTGTGCTTTGCATCAGAAACCACTATTTCCTCCTGGACTGTACACACCAATCCACTTTGTACACTGTGCTGCACATTCTACATCACACCACTTCATCCTGTACATCAGTGGTTCTCAACCTGTGGGTCGGGACCCCCTCGGGGGTCGAATGACGATTTGCCAGGGGTCGCCTAGTGGCTCTCGGCCGCTGGGAGAGGAACACTTTCTCCCGGAAAGGTCCGGACCTTTCTCTGCTGTTTTTTTTTTTTAATCGGGGGCCACCGTAAGTCAGAAAAAAAAAAAAAACACCATAGGAATGCATGGCTAGATTCCTATTGGCTATTTCACTTTGCAAAAGCCAATAGCAAACTAGCTATTGCACCCCCCCTCTGATGCTGCCAATCAGCAGAGGGGGACCGTAAGTTCTCCATCAGGTCCCCTTCTAGTGATTGACAGCAGCAGAGGGTGGGTGCAATATGTATGTATTCAAGCAAAAACATATATAAAACACACCTCTAGCTATGCATTCCATTTTCCCGGTCCGCAGCTGCAGAGATTGGGAAATGTCTCGGTGCCTGTGATTGGCACTGCGCGCTGTCAGCTTCCTGGCGGGCTCGGAACGTGGAGCTGCGAACATGCCCGAGCCAATCCCTATCAGTGACAGTACTGCAGAGTATTTACCTCATACGTTATATAGCCACACACTTTAAATCCAATTCTTCTAGTTCCAGCTGCAGAGTCCAGTCCGGTCTTTGCCTATAGCAGTGGTTCTCAACCTGTGGGTCGCTGTGCAAGGTGAGAGTCCTCCTCAGCTCTCTCCTAGCGCAGCAGTGTCAGTTCTCCTGCCACGCCTCCAGATGTCGCTGCAGCAGCCGCGTCATCACTAAATTTTACCGTTGGGGGTCACCACAACTTGGCAAATGTTACCAAGGGGTCCCGGCCCTAGAAAGGTTGAGAACCACTGCTGTATATGTTACAATGCTAGAGAACCCTGGAGGTAATGAGTATATTAATGTACCTATTGCTATCCCGGTATCATCAATGGTTACATTGAAATGCTCATTCCTTCTGCGGGACTGAATGGCAGTAATTCTGTGTATGGCTCACTATAGTCTCTTCTACCATTAAATACCTTTTAATAAGTCTCATTCTGGTTTAAGATGTACAACATTTGCATAACACATGTTTTCTGCATTGCAATTGGTCCGTTTAACACATGGAGATGCACAAAAGTGCTGCATGTCCTATATTATGAACGTGCAGTGCATAAGTGTGAATTAGCCATATATAAAAAATTTACCGGAAAGACGAGTGTTCACACGTATGCATATGCATTAACATATGAACATGGGCAGGAACACCCAACCCAGGTGAAGATGGTCTGGAACATCCAAAAAACCCCAGGTGGAGATGGGCTGGAACACCCCAAACCCCCCCTGGAGGAGAGGAACAAAGTCAAGGAGGTCTCACTGATGGATCATCCAAGACATATATAAAGCCATTGGCTGACTTAGCCCATTAGGGTCTACCTATTACTAAAATATAACTTTTGGGTCAACCGGCCCTGTAAATTGTCACAGTTCACTTCAAACTGGCCAGGTGTTCAAGAAATAATTATCAGCCAGACATTCCAATACACTACCGGCCACTCCAATACACTACCAGGCACTCCAATACACTAACAGGCACTCCAATACACTAACAGGCATTCCAATACACTAAATTACCAGATTCAGCAGAAGGTTCAATACTCACTGAATTTTTTGGCGTTAGATTTCTTGGCACTTGTGTCGCCCATGGTGTCACCTTTTAAGTCCTGAGATGAATGTGCTGAAGATTTTCTCATCTGTGCTACTAGGTGCAGCTTCCTTTCCCCAGTGAGTGTATACTTTCCTCCCAGGGTGCAGCTTCCCCCCTCAGCAAAAAGTCTGCACCATGCTGCTTATCTGATATTCTCGATGTGGTTTGGGGGCCGAGCTACTCAACCACAAGATGTGATGAGCAGGGAGGAGCGGCTTTCTTGTATTGATGGCTATCTGTACAGGTGTCAATTTTCTGATGATGAAAAGCTCCTTTTATGTGTCACCTCTGACCTTTGATTTTGGACAGCACATTCTGATTAGCTGTTGCACATTTTTGGTGGTCCACGGGGCTTTTTTTGTAATATTGAGCCATTTTCTGTGACTGAGTCTTCTGTGAGTCTTCTGTCACATCTTACAAAAACCGTGGTGCTAATCTACACTTCCGCTTTAGCTCTGCTCGTACCAGTTTCCTGTAAGACTTCTATTGCAAGAAAGGTCGGACAGACATATGTAACAATTCACAAAGAACATTATCTTCACACTGGAGGAACCCAAAATAAATTCATTTGAACCAAACTAATAAAAACTGGTACAAATAACGTGTGTGAGTCCAGTGGACTTTAAAGGATATCTATGGTGAACAACTACAAATAAATCTGTATTTTTTTAATTGAATTTTACATAAGTTCTCTTCCACTCCTAATAACTAGGGGTGCACCGAAATGGTATTTTGAGACCGAAACTGAAAAATAAAAAATTTGTCAGGCCGAAACCGATACTGAAATTTTTTTTCCCAATCTTTAAAAAAAAATAAAAATATATTTTTTAAATTTAAAATAATTATTTTATTTTTACTTTACTGTCGGGGGATCTAGGGAAATATCAGGGGTCTGAACAGAAACAGACCCCTGATATTTCCCTTTTAAAATAGAAAATTAAATTGAAAAAAATCAAGTCCTCAATCTCTTTTTCTGCAGCCCCTGTTATAAATGAACAGGAATCCTCTATACTGAGTGTTCCTGTTCATCCAAACATTGTGGATGTAGTGTACTTACTATGTCCACAATCATGAATGAATAGGAAGTGATGTAGATCACTTCCCATTCATCCAAAACTGGGACATAGTAAGTACACTAGGTCCAGTTATTTACAAACACTCAGCGTTCAGCTGATCGGTGACTGTTTGTATGCCCGCTCTCCATCCTGAATTGGCTGCCACAGGAGGGAGGATGGCAGTGGGGGAGGAGAGCTGTGCCTCCTGTGACAGATCAGAGCACTCTTCTCCAATCACCGCTCTCGATCCAGACACAGGAGGCTCCTCCCACCCTCCTGGCTCCGCCTCCTGAGACAATTCACAGCCGTCACTGCCCCGCACTGCTCGGCAGCCTGACACAGGAGGCGGAGCCGGGAGGAGAAATCTGCCTCCTGTGACAAATCGCAGCTGTCACCGCCCCGGACCGCTCTCCATCCTGACATCGGGAGGAGAGCTTGGCCTCCTGCAACAATGACCGCTGCCACCATGCAGCGCCACTCCCCATCCTGAAAGCTTCTCTCCTCCCCGCTGGGCACAGGCGCTGCGTCGCAAAGCAATACGCGGCGGAGAGAAGCTAGGATACACTGAATTTTGAGCCACCTTTTCGGCCCTCATGGCACTTTCGGCAAATGGCCAAAAGTGCCATTTTTGGGCCGACATGTTTCACGGCCAAAATTTTGATGCCTCCTTACTAATAACCATATTGATCTAGACATATGTAATCTTACTTATTGAAGATGCCCCTAGGATGGACTCCTTCAATGCACTGATACCATTTCACAACAATCTTGTGTCACCACTCTCACAGAGCCTGCCTTCTGAACTCAACACCTGTAACACGATCATTGCTTGCTGCAAGCATAATCTTGAGCAATGGAGATTACATCATGTCAAGCAGCAGGGAAACAGATACAAAGCACACTAGGAATCCAGGAAGTTGTTGGAAGTGATGGGCAGACAGAAGGCAGCACTCACTACATAAAAGGGATTTTAGCTTTGATTGCATTATTAAAAACAGCTCTAGTATGTATTCCTAGTACAATGCTGATGTTATAACAGTTTAGTATATGCTGGGACTTTACAACTCCTTCAGGGCCACTTCACACCACATCTAGATTACCTCCAGACCAGACTGTTTCCAGACCCAAAATGCATCCCAATGTATCCCTATGCTATTTCTGCCCTCTGTTTCCACCAGCGCAGTCCGTTCCAGACCAGACCAGAAAAATACTGCATGTCTCATTTTCTCTGGTCTGGAATGCACTGGAACCAGATCTGGTCCGGAAAATGGGGTGAACCTGCTCTCAATGGCCAGCTCTGGACCCCCCATCACTGCCACATGGAGTCCCCCTGCAGGTATTCTTGTAGGAGCACTGCATTGCCATACATTGTCAGTGTGCATTAGCATGCTGAGTTGTAGTAATAAAAAAGCAATGCATACTCTACTCTTCATAACTGCATAGTACTGTACAACAATGCCCCCCCCACCAGGAGGTGCATTGGAGTGCAATTAAGAATGAATAGCTACGCAACGCACCTAGCATGCGGTAAGGTGCTCTGTGCAATAGTGTGTACTACACGCATGGATCCGAGCATTTAGTACAATTCTACGGTGTGTATCTAAACCCCGAACTCTGTATTGCACTTAGGAATAGGATGGTGAGGGGTTAAATTCTCTGTCATGTTAATGTTGCTTTCCTTGTCCTCATTGGAGAGATTCACCCTCTCCAATTATCCTGGTGACACTGAAAGTGAGGCAAAAGCCAAAATCATACAGGAGAGATCTTCCAATTGGGGCAAATGTTCTGGTGACAGCTGTCTAAGAGGGGATTTCCCTCGCTTTAGAGATATTCTCTCATTTCCTGTTGAGTCAATAGTGTGACAGACCGCTTGGTACCCCAACTGGGTACCTCTGACAGAAATCAGCTTCCTCTATTCTGGAACCGGGAAATCATAATTACAGCCCAAACCTTCCCCTTAAAAGCAGGCAGGACTAGTATCCTAAAAAATACCAAGAACTCTCTTTATTGAAAATCAGCTCAGTATAGTTCTGTTGGTCTAAAAACATAACGCAATCAGACATTAAAAGAGTGCAAACAGACATCCCCTCCCCCGGTGTCTTAATGAAAGAATAGGGAGAGAGGAGACACATATGATGGGATTATCTCCTGAGTGTCTATCATATGGTAATGTACTCAGATACATCTAATGTCAAGTTAATCCCATTGTTAACCCAATCAGACAAATGGACAAAATGTTTGGTGGTGATGGCAACATCAGCAATAAACTTTTTACAGTAAACTCCATAACAAAGACTAGAGGCCACCGCCTAAAATTGGTGGAGAAAAGATTTAACCACAAGGGTGCGTAGGGGCTTCTTCTCAGTTAGATCTGTTAAAATCTGGAACTCGCTGTCACAAGAAGTGGTATCAGCGGAGAGTATTGAATCGTTCAAAAAGCATTTAGACACCTTCCTCAGAGAACGCAACATACAGGGGTACAGGTACCCTGTTTCCCCCAAAATAAGACCTACCCCGAAAAAAAGACCTAGTACTATTTTTGGGAATTGCTCAAATATAAGACCTACCCCAAAAATAAGACCTAGTTGTGACCATTCCCAGGGTCGGTGGTGGCATTAGGGGGAACTTGAAGAGCTGCAGCAGAGGCGGGAGAGGATCAGCGGTGCCAACAAAGCCAGCGCTAGAGGAACCGAGGGGGCAGTGGAGGGAGCAGAGTCGCATAAGCTGATGCTTCCTCTATAGCGCCGACTCCTGACACAGGCGGAGTGATACCAAATGCACTCCGCCTGCGAGGATCGATAGTGAAAGTGCGCTTCACTCATTCTGGCCAGCGATTGGTTAGCAAATTGCTCTTGGAAAGGTACGGCACCCCTGATTGCCCTGATCACCCTAGTCTAAACTTTGCCATTTTGGATTAGCATTAACTTTGGATTGTTGTACATTAAAAAAATAAGACCTACCCCGAAAATAAGACCTAGTGTGTTTTTTTGAGCCAAAAAAAATATAAGACAGTGTCTTATTTTCGGGGAAACACGGTACTCTTAAAAACAAGATCATACAAGGACTTGTATACGCACATACACATGCACAATTACATACATACACACAATAGGTTGGACTTGATGGGCCTGTGTCTTTATTTAACCTCAAATACTATGTGTAACTATGTAAATGGACAAACAGACTTCCATTTAACTTGTTAGTCTGTGAGTCAAGTCTATAGGCCCGTTCACACTAGATGCAGTGCGTTCTGGCCTGATTCTGGCCAGAACGCACTGCCTCGCATTGGCTCACTTTTTAGTGGGGCAGGCGGGGGCGTGGCGGGCCATTCAAGTGAATGGCACCGTAGCCACGCTCTCCGGCCGCAATGCGATCGGCCACACGGGATCGCAAAGTACATTATGCCTGCGGTCCGGTGCCATTAAACCCGGACACCACATTCAAAACCCGGACTGTCCGGGTGAATCCTGGACAGGTGGCAACCCTACTGGTGTCTTGTTCACTGTACAGCCGCCCATAGACATCAATGGCTGTATTTTTCTAGCATCACATTGCATGCAAAAGTACACATATATTTATCATCATAAAACTCACTACCGATTAATATTATTTAACAAACTACAATAATCTTTTAATGAGAAATATATCATTTTATACACACGTGACTTCTGCTGCAAACGTGCCCATCCGTCCCTTATGCTGACCCCTGTGCAAACGCATATAAACTAACAGAAAAATATCAAGAATTAAAAAAAAAAACCACACACATGGCTGGCAATTGATTTAATGAATAAACTACCCAGATAATTGCCATGCCATTATACTCCTGGAAATTCTCATTTACTGGCTTTCATGTGCACAACGTCCAAAACTCCGGAGACACCACCGACCCATATCACGTGATCACCATGTTAAAGAGCTTGGAGACTGTGTCACGTGACGGTCACGCAGGCCTGGTGTCAGGGTGCGCGCAGTTCACAGCCCCGAGCATGCGCAGTTTGTCATTGGGAGCGCGCACCGGAAGTGTACGGCGGAAGTCAGAGAACACCTGTAAACACCGGCTCCAGAAGCATAGAGACAGAGTCGAGAGAGAAACAGATACAGAGAGAGAGGACACTACCTGCAGTGTGGGCTTCCTACTTACTGCGGGCTTCTTTGTTGCTGTCGGACAGCTGAGGGAGCGGCGGCGAGGGGGTTTAAGCCGGAGGAGGCCTGGAAACAAGGGCGAAGATCGGCGGAGGCCTGGGTCCAGGGCTGGATTCCCGCTCCGAGCCTGCACCCTCCACAGCGGCCACTATGGCCAAGAACTACGACTCCATGGAGTTCCCGTTCTGCGACGAGGTGTCCAAGTATGAACGGCTGGCCAAGATCGGACAGGGAACCTTCGGGTGAGAAACAATGGAGATCAGGGCTGGATGTGTAATGTTCATCCTCTGGATTCTTTCCATGAAGGTCAGGGTTGGGGGGAGCTGGATGTGTAATGTTCATCCTTCTGATTCTTCCCATGAAGATCAGGGTTGGGGGAATCTGGATGTGTAATGTTCATCCTCATGATTCTTCCCATGAAGATCAGGGTTGGGGGGATCTGGATGTGTAATGTTCATCCTTCTGATTCTTCCCATGAAGATCAGGGTTGGGGGGATCTGGCTGTGTAATGTTCATCCTTCTGATTCTTCCCATGAAGATCAAGGTTGGGGGGAGCTGGATGTGTAATGTTCATCCTTCTGATTCTTCCCATGAAGATCAGGGTTGGGGGTACATGTGTAATGTTCATCCTAAATCTTCCCATGAAGATCAGGGTGGGGGGATTTGGATGGGTAATGTTGATCCTTCTGATTCCTCCTATGAAGTACTGAGGAAGGGTGCTGTCTAGAGCACCCTGCCGGTCCCTTCCTCCTGGCCATGATCTGCCTGCATTGCATAGAGAAGCACAGGGACCCAGTGATGACATCACTGGGTGTAATATAATGAGTGTAGTGAAAACCGGTTTCATGTACACAATTCATTATCATGTTGATGAGGGGGGGGAGGGGGAGGAATCGAAGGCAAAGTATCAGCAGAGTACATTTCACTTCTAATAAACAATTGGGCGGAGCTAGCGGTGACAGCTATCTCCGCCCAATTGTGTAGTTTGCCGGCATCTGATAGGTGAGACATGATTGGTTTTGAGGCTTCGGCTGAGTTTTACCATCACATATCTTCTTGTCTCAATTTCCGGGTGTCAGAGAATAGAGAACACTTCCAGTCCCCTCTTTATATGTCAATGTTTCTATATAGTCCTGATTATTTTCAGATAATTAATTACGGACGCACCCATACCGGTTTTTCTGGTTACGAGTACAGATATTTTGCTTCCGGTGGCATGAAGCCGGCTTCCGGGGCAATCAGAAAGCCGAGCGGCGGGTAATGACATGCCATCCAGCTTCCTGATTGCCTGGGAAGCTGGCTCCATATTGTTATTGTGATTGGCCGGAAAACTGGCTTCCCAGTCAATCAGGATCGAGCCGGCTTCCCGGCCACTCAGGAAGCTGTTGTGGGGTGCCGATTGGCTGGAAAGCAGGCTTCCCACCCGATCAACAAAGAGTGGGTTGTTCGGCCAGCTCAATGCTGATTGGCCAGGAAGCCTGCTGCACATTGTTTGGCCAGCTCAATTGTGATTGGCCGGGAAACCAGCTTCCCAGCCAATCAGGAACGAGCCAGCTTCCCGGCCACTCAGGCTGCTGTTGTGGAGTGCTGATTGGTTGAGAAGCCGGCTCCATGCTGATCGGCTGGAAAGCCGGCTTCCCACCCATTCAGCAAGGAGTGGGCTGTTCAGACAGCTCAATGCTGATTGGCCAGGAAGCCGGCTTCCCAGCCAATCAGCATGGAGCCGGTTTCCCGGCCAATCCGTGAGACAGATCATTACTCGTCACCTGGCTTCCTGATTGCCTGGGAAGCCCTGCTCCATGATCCCCCTACGTCACTGCCAGGCAGAGGAAATCTTACTCGCCCAAATACTCGGTGTCTGCACCGATACTAGTATCAATCTCTATCATTAATATATATGTTTTTTCGTTGTTACAGGGAAGTCTTTAAAGCCAAACATCGGCAGACCGGCAAGAAAGTGGCTCTGAAGAAAGTATTGATGGAGAATGAGAAAGAAGGAGTAAGTATCTCCGCCTCCTGTGTGTTGTCAGCCCTCAACAGGAAATAAGGAGCTGAGCAGATCGACTGTTGTTTGTCTGCACTTGCACAGTCTATAAAGGAGAACTATGGGGTCAGGGCTTTTCCCCATAGTTCTCCTAAGAGTAACGGGAGAACACAAACTAGTGTCCTCCCGTCACCCAAAGCTCAGTAGCTCGCGGTATGCTGAGGCGCCGCAGCCGGGACGGATCCCGACATTACTGTCTGGATTCACCCAGCTGCGTGAGTGACAGCTGGCTCTGCCTATCTAGAGGCAGAGCCAGCTGTACCCTCCCCCGTTTGTTCTGCCAGTCAGCGCTGGAGGATCGGAGCGGGGAATCCCTGCAGGGAGCTGTGAGCTACAGTCGCAGCTCTCTGCAGGGAGATGATCGAGAAGTGAGCGAGCGACGGTATGTGTTTGCTCACTTCCCGATCTATTGAGCCGACGTGTGACAGTCTCATTGTCACAGGTCGGCTCGAACTATGAGGATGAGTGATTTTCACTCGCCTCATAGTTCTCCTTTAAGGGAAATGTGCATGTACAGCAGAGATTTTTTATTTTTTTTGTATTGTGCCCTGGCTCACACTTTAATTTTATTTCTCCCCGTCTCTTTAGTTCCCAATAACGGCTCTACGTGAGATAAAGATTCTCCAGCTGCTGAAACATGAAAATGTCGTCAATCTGATTGAGATTTGCAGGGCAAAAGGTACAGAGTGTTCAGTGTATAGACTTCATTCAGACCGGTGTTCAGACTCCTCAGAACAGAAGTTATCTGAATGTGTCACCTCTGTCACCTCTGTCCTGTGCCACCTCCATCACCTATAGATATTTAGATTTATGATGGAGGTGTCGGGTGCCCCCATGATGGGGGGATTTCTCTCCATCTGTCCTGGTGAGGAGGGGATATCCCATTGGGGATGCATCAATTAAGTGTCAAAGGTTTTAAATCTCCCACTCAGTATAGCTTCTACTGTACTTGTATAGCTGTCTGTGACCCCATTTGTCTGTTAAATAGGGATACTAGTAACAGTATCGGTGCTGATGCCGAGTATTTGGACTTTTAGATTGTAAGCCCTCAGGGGCAGGGCCCTCCTTACCATCTTGTCCTGATTTGTATAGTAACTGTAATGTCCTCCTTATATTGTAAAGCGCTGCGCAAACTGTTGGCGCTATATAAATCCTGTATAATAATAATAATGGGCTTCTTGTATTTCTAAGGGCCTCCACAGACATAACTCCTTCCCCAGCACAGCCTCGGCATGACTTGGGAACTCTAGTGCCGACTTAAAATAGTCCATGACATACACAAATCTTTTGTATATTTCAGGCTGGTTACTTCCTGTTCAGAATCAAAGCATTCATGGTTAACAAATGAAGTCATTGATGTGTCAATTGGTACCCTTTCCATGAATAGTTTGCTGATGTCGTTTTCTTTCACAGCAAACCAGTACAACCGCTGCAAAGGAAGCATCTTCCTGGTCTTTGACTTCTGTGAACACGATCTAGCCGGACTTCTGAGCAATACACATGTCAAATTCACACTTTCTGAGATAAAGAAGGTCATGCAGATGCTACTTAACGGTCTCTACTATATCCATAGGAATAAGGTAAAGTAACGCACCAGTCCAGGTTTCTTAGCCCCCTATGTGATAATAAAGTTAAAGGAGAACTATGAGTTCCCCGCTCCGATCCACCAGCGCTGACTGAAGGAACGGGGAGGGGGCGGGTACAGCTGGCTCTGCCTCTAGATAGGCAGAGCCAGCTGTCACTCACGCAGCTGGGCGGATCTCGACATCGATGTCGGGATCCGCTCCGGCGCCTCAGTATACCGCGAGCTGTAGCTCGTGGTATACTGAGCTTAGGGTAACGGGAGGACGCTAGTTTGTGTCCTTCCGTTACCCTAAGAAGAACTATGGGGAAAAGCCCTGACCCCCATAGTTCTCAAGTGAAAAAAAGGAAAAAAAAATTTAAGGATAATTAAAGCCTCCGGTTTTTTTTTGCAGAGATCTACTGCTAGCAGGCAGTACATGTATGCAAAAAGTGTAAAACAAAAAACGCTTTAACGAAGGTTAATACTCGTGTCTTCCCTGCGTGCGCCCGTCCGAAAATGTGAAGATCCTCCGGCGGCCGCAAAGCATCTTGCGGCGGGTGCATGCGCAGTTCACATTTTCGGCCGGGAGACGAGGAGAGACACAAGGTAAGTCTACGGACGACGTGCACCCGCATGCAGACACCGTGGGACAGGAAGTACCAGCAAGCACAGAGGAGTCAGCGCTGGATCGGAGACCCGCCGCAGCGCTGGAGGGACAGATGAAAAGGACAGGAAAGAAGAAGATCGGATTAAGAAATTTAAGGTAAGTGCTCTAATAAACATTGGGGGGGGGATTGACTTTATCAAAACTGCGTCCCAATGTATTTTTTGCTCCAGTTCACATCGCAGCGTGCAGGTCCAGAGCAGGTGAAAAAACTGCAGCAGGCCCTATTTTACCTGCTCTGGATCTGCAAATGCCTGGGACGCACTAAAAGCCCATTTTAAACTTTAAACAAGATGGTAAGGAGGGCCCTGCCCCTGGGGGCTTACAATCTAAAAGGGAGGGGGAAGTGTGATACATGAGGAGGTAGCTGTGTAGGGGTGAATTGTTTGAGAATGTGATGGTTGAGTGGTCAGGTTGAGGTGGGATAGGCTTCCCTGAAGAGATGAGTCTTAAGGGATCGCCTAAGGCCACATTCACACTAAATGACACTCGCCTCGCGCGGTGGTATAGGGTGATGGTCCAGCGACGATCGCGCGACCTTCACCGTCGAGCTGCATTAAAAGAAAAAAGGAAATTCGCGGGAAAACGGGCGACATTGAAAACCATTGGCCGGCGACTTCTCGTGTTATCGCACGGCAAAAATGCGCGATATCGCAGGGGATTTTCCGCTCAGTGTGAATGGGGCCTAAAGGCAGTCAGTCAGAGTGGGAGATAGACGGACAGGTTGGGGTAGAGCGTTCCATAGGATGGGAGAGACTCTAGAGAAGTCCTGGAGGCGAGTATGGGAGGAGTTGATGAGGGAGCTGGAAAGCAAGAGGTCTTGGGAGGAGCGGAGTGGACGGTTAGGGTGATACTTTGAGATCAGGTTGGAGATATAGCCGGGGGCCGAGTTGTGGACGGTTTTGTAAGTGGTTGTTCATATTTTGAATTTGCAGGGATTGACAGAGGGGGGCAGAGGATGGAATCCAATGCAGGGATTGGCAGAGGGGGGTGGGTGATGGAAGCCAGTGTAGGGATTGGCAGAGGGGGGTTGCAGACACTGAGCGGTTGGTTAGGTGGATGAGAGAGGGGGGCAGAGGATGGAAGCCAGTGTAGGGACTGACAGAGGGGGGCAGAGGATGGAAGCCAGTGTAGGGATTCGCAGAGAGGGGTGGGGGATGGAAGTCAGTGTAGGGATTGGCAGAGGGGGGTTGCAGACACTGAGCGGTTGGTTAGGTGGATGAGAGAGGGGGGCAGAGGATGGAAGCCAGTGTAGGGATTCGCAGAGAGGGGTGGGGGATGGAAGTCAGTGTAGGGATTGGCAGAGGGGGGGGTGCAGACACTGATCGGTTGGTCAGGTGGATGAATCTAGCAGCAGCATTCATGATAGACTGAAGGGGGGAGGAGCCTGTGTAGTGGAAGACCAATGAGGAGGGAGTTACAATAGTCAAGACAAGATATAACAAGCGAGTGGATGAGTAATTTTGCGGTTTCATTGGTGAGGAAGGGGCGTATTTTGGAGATGTTACGAAGGTGAAGGCGGCAGGATTTGGATGTGGGGAAGAAAGGTGAGGTCCAAGTCAAGGATGACACCTAGGATCTTGGCATGGGGGGAGGGCTGGATAATTGTGTTATCAATCTCAAGGGAAAAGTTATATCTAGTATTGAATGTAGAACTGATGTGTATTGGTCAGGTAATGACTTGCCTACCTGTTCAATGTGGGTTGTTAACATGCTGAACACGTATTTATATAATGAAGCTGATCGATTAAAGGGGAGCAAACATGGAACGTGTGTCAGATCAGTTGCTCCATGTCTGCTCCAGTTTTTTTTTTTGTGTGTCCTAGGTTTTGCCTTCGCTGATAAATCTTCTCTTTTCTCTCATCAGATCCTGCACAGGGACATGAAGGCAGCAAACGTGCTGATTACCAGAGATGGAGTTTTGAAATTAGCGGATTTCGGATTAGCTCGGGCCTTCAGTCTTGCCAAAAACAGCCAGCCAAACAGATACACCAATCGTGTGGTCACGCTCTGGTACCGACCCCCCGAGCTGCTTCTAGGTAAGGGCGTTGGTTATGAGTAGAGTAAATGTCATTTATTACGTTTATTTCGGCACAGCTTCCTATTTAATATATGACAATGTCTGTTATTGTGAGGGGGCTTTATCAAAACTGGAACAAACAGAATCTGGAGCAGTTGCCCACAGCAACCAATCAGCATCTCTCTTCAGTTTGCTGAGGTAAGATTTGAAAATGAAAGGGAGAAGCTGATTGGTTGCCATGCACAGCTGCGCCACATTTTGTCTGCTCCAGTTTTCATAAATTCCCCTCAGTGTTTTTATTCTTTTTTGCCCCTTTCCCCTGTCCTAACTCAGCCTACCCCTCCTTCAGTCTTCTCCAATCCAGTGGCCGCATTTCTGCTGTTTTGTTTACATCCATTGGTGCAAGTCTTCACTGCCCTGGCAGTGAAGTGCCCCATAACTTCTATGGGGATGTGTCCTGAGGCCAGAGATAAGAGATGGTTCCGTGAAGGTCCATGGGGCTGTAATGCACAGGTACAGATAGGACAGTAAGGACTTTCACCACTAAATGTAAACAAACAGCCGAAATGCGGCCATTGGATTGAGGGACATATGCATCTATGGGGGTGAAGCATGGCTTAGGTCAAGGGAAGGGAGCAAAACGGATACATGCAGTTTGTTTAAAGGGCACTTAGCTAATCATATCTCATGAAAGCGTTCAGATAACATGGGGGTGGTGAAAAGAACTCCCCATCAATAGAGTATCCTAATGTGCATCTGTGCCATCTTGAAGTAACCTGATTTGGTGATGGCTTGCATCATACAGCACCCGTAGACCAGGTATTACCTGTTATGTGACTCTACTGCCTTCCAGGAGCCACAAAATGTCCTATGCACAATTGAACATAGACATGCCCCCATCACAATTCATTGTGATCACCCCTCTATTGGTGGGATGGGGAAATATACTGAATTGTAAATAATGTGGACATGGTAAACATACTATCTCCTCAAGTTATGAATGAACAGGAACACTCAGTATAGAGGATTTCTGATCATTGATAACAGGGGCTGCAGAAAAAGAGATTGAAGACTCTGTGTCCTAAATCTCTTTTTCTATTTTAAAAGGGAAATATCAGGGGTCTGTTTAGACTCCTAATATTTCCCCGAAGCCCCTAAAAGTCAAGTAAAAAATAAAAATATTTAATAAATTTGAAAAAGTTAAAATAAAAAAAACATTTTCGGTTTCGGCCTGACATTTTTTTAATTTTATTTCGGTTTTGAAATTTTTCATTTCAGTGCACCTCTAGTTAAAGTGAACCCTGGCTTGGAAGGCAACCTTGGCACTCCAGCTGTGATGAAACTACAAATCCCATTATGCATGTCCCTCTGGGAGTTGTTGCTGTCACAATTGCAACGCCTCTTGGGATTTGTAGACTTGTAGTTTGACCACAGCTGGAGTGCCAAGGTTGCCTACTCCTGGCTTAGACTGTTAAGTAGTCCTGTAGGAAAGTGGGTGTTGTCTTTCACATTGAAAATGTAGATGAAGTTGTCCTCTTATGTGAAGGATGCCATGTGTTCTACTCCTTTAGGATGATGCCTTATAACAGTGGGTCACAAGGGGGCTGTGGCCCACACCCGGGTGACACCATTGGAGGGGTGACACCAAAATGACTGACAGTCATTTTGGTGTCACTCCCCTCTGAAAAGTCGGGCACTCGATCAAGGACCGAGAGCCCGACAGTAGCTCGAGAGAGAGGAATGGGACTCGGCGGGGTAAGGAACCTTATCCTGCCATGTAACCTCCCCGCCTCTCTCTGCCGGCGTCCATCACCAAGATGGCCGCCGGCAGGTAACAGCGGTACCTCACGTGCGCGATGACGTCACCCCGCCTTGGGACGCCTCTGCCGTATAACCTGCTATTGTTGTTCCAAAACGGTTTAAAGTGGAACTCCTGGAATGCAATAGATTGTCCCCCTTCTCCAAATTGTTTTTGTAAGTCATTTATTCATTAAGAGTTGAAGTTCCCCGTTGTGTATCTGAACCCATTGCCATAAAAATGAACGGATTTGTGTTTGGAAACTTGACTGTAAGTTCTGACGGCAGTTTTGTATTTTTAGGAGAGCGTGATTACGGTCCTCCCATAGACCTGTGGGGTGGTGGATGTATAATGGCCGAAATGTGGACCCGGAGCCCCATCATGCAAGGAAACACTGAGCAGCACCAGCTAACGCTGATCAGCCAGCTGTGCGGTTCCATCACCCCGGAGGTGAGTACAGTGGGCTACTTGGTGACAATTTTTTATTTGGGTTGCCTTACTTAAAGGAGAACTATGAGGTGAGTGATTTTCACTCCACCTCATAGTTCGAGCCGACGTGTGACAATGAGAGTAGATCGTGAAGTGAGCGAACACATACCGTTGCTCGCTCACTTTTCGATTATGTCCCTGTAGAGAGCCGTGACTGTCACTCACGGCTCCCTGCAAGGATTTCCCCGCTCCGATCCTCCAACGCGGACTGGGGAGGGGGCGGGCACAGCTGCCTCTTCCTCTAGACAGCCAGATCCAGCTGTCAATCACGCAGCTGTGTGGATCTCGACAGTAATGTCGGGATCTGTCCCGGCTGCAGTGGTCTCGGTATACCGCAAGCTGTAGCTCGCGGTATACTGAGCTTTGGGTCTCGAGAGGGCGCTAGTTTGTGTCCTCCCGTGACCCTTAGGAGAACTATGGGGAACAACACTTACCCCATAGTTCTCCTTTAAGCTGGCCACACAATGTTCTGTTCTGTCATTCAACCCGCGGGCTAAACGAAAAAAAAAATACAATACATTTCTCCAACGCTACAAGCGCGTTAATCAGGGAATCTCCCGCTGTCTTCATTGTATTCTGACAGCGCCCCCTGGCCGCTGTGAGACTACACGAGCAGAACCGACAGCTCATTGGCTGTCGTCTCTGTTCCTGTGAAGATTTTCCGACCTGCTCCTTCGATCAGCTGAGGGATGCCGGTTCCTGCAGAATGTATGGCCAGCTTTAGACTGCTACTTCTCAGGTAGTTGGTTGTAGCATTCTAGGATAAACGGCTCCATTCACAAAGCTTTATTAATTGCAGGCACAGATATACATAGCGCTTTTCATACTGTACATTCACATACGCATTTCAGTCATGTGACTGTGGACTGAAAATGATTGTCATTTATGAAAGTTTGGATTATTATCCTGGTGTGTTAGCTTTGGGACTTGAGCCTAATGCAGCACCCCAGAGAATGCCACACTGAATGACTCCTCATAAAGAGTGCCTCCCTGGGGTGCAACCTTGGCACTCAGCTGTTGTAGAACTACAAGTCCCATGAGGCATTGCAAGATTCACGACTCCCGGAGCCAGAGACATGATGAGAGTGCCAAAGTAGCCTACCTCTGCCTCTGTGTTTGCTTTGTATGCCTGCCTGCTGTTTAGCAAGTGTAAAGCAAGGATTGGTATTGATTAGGGATGCACCGATACCAATACTAGTGGTGCTCCAATACTTATCCTGATACCGGAACTTCAGTCAGAGGGAGATTTCCTCTGAGCGACAGTGCCGTGAGGGAACATGGAGCCGGGTTTCCCGACCAATCGGGAAGCCGGGCAGTGGGAAATGACTTGCGCCACTGCTTCCTGATTGAACAGCATGGAGCCGGCTTCCCTGCTAATCAGGAACCCGGGTCGTGGGTAATGGTCCGGCTTCCTGATTGGCCAGGAAGCTGGCTTCCTGGCCAATCTGCATAGAGCTAACCAAACAGCATGGAGTCGGCTTCCTGGCCATCAAGCCCGCCAAACAGCATAGACCCGGCTTCCTGGGAAATCACAAAGCCGGGTAGCGGGTAATGACCCGCCTCCCGGCTTCCTGAAAAGCAAGGAAGCCGGCTTCCTGGCCAGTCCGCATCAAGCCTCCCAAACAGCCCGGGTTCTTGATTTCCCGGGTCCACGCTGTTTGGCGGGCTTGATGCGGATTGCCCGGGAAGCTGCCTCAATGCTAGAAGTATTGGTGAGTACCAAAATCTAAATATCGGTACTCGATACCAAAAAGCCGGTGTCGGTGCATCCAAATGACATTTTTGTACTTTCCCCCTGAATGTGCTGTATAGAAAAACAAACCAGTAGCCAGAAATGAAGCCCGTCATCTCCGATAATAATCTGCTTCCATGGTTTTTGGTTACAAGCCACCTCAATATATTCCCTTTGCATTGCTAGGTGTGGCCCAATGTGGACAAGTATGAACTTTATCAGAAGCTGGAGCTGCCCAAAGGCCAGAAGAGGAAGGTCAAGGACAGACTGAAGGCTTATGTAAAGGATGCCTACGCCCTGGATCTTATCGACAAGCTACTAGTCCTGGACCCAGCGCAGAGAATTGACAGCGACGATGCCCTCAATCATGACTTCTTCTGGTCTGACCCAATGCCTTCTGACCTCAAGAACATGCTTTCAACTCACAACCAGTCCATGTTTGAATATCTGGCTCCTCCGAGAAGACGGGGAGGTCACATGCCTCAGCAACCAGCTAATCAGGGAAGGAACCCTGCAACCAATCAATCTGAATTCGATCGCGTCTTCTAGCGCCTGGCCACACATGGATTAAGTTTTGTCTCTTTCGGAATAAAAAGTTGATTGTTCAGTCGACTTTTTTTCAAAGGCGATCGGCAACCAATCAGACGCAGTCACTTCTGGGTATTGCGCCAGCTGTCTGAATACAGGAGGAGTTTCCTCCATCCACACTCTTTAGCGTGGAAGGGGAGTTCGAGTGATTTCTCTAATGCAGGCCGCAGTGTGCTGTACTATGTTTTTGTTATTGTTTTAAATATAGAGATTCATAGATTACCCACAAAGTGGGTCTCTGTTCATTTATTGCCCCTTGTACCGAAAGGCAAGGTCCACCTAATATACCGTGTTTGCCCGGAAATAAGACCTACCCCTAAAGTAAGACCTAGCACTATTTTTAAACATTCCTGTAATATAAGACCTACCTCTAAAGTAAGACCTAGTTTGGGGTAGCCCAGAGAGCAACCAGAGTCATGGCGGGGACTAACCGCTGCGCCGCAGCTTCCGCATGCCGCCCGTGTCACGAAATAAGCAGACACCCGTCTGTCTTTGCTTAGAAAGCTGTCGCCGGGCAGAAAACTACATTTCCCAGCAGGCAGCGGCACAGCGCGGCAAGGAACGTATGGCCGGTGGGGTCGGGGTGAGCCTCAGTCACTGTGGGAACTTCTGACTGGAGGTCCGTGTAGTCCAGCCTGGCGACAAGAGAGGTGGATCCCTGGCGGGGATCCCACAGAGAACTGTGGACGGCATCAGAGAGGAGAGCTGCAGGTATTGTGACACTGTGTGTGACAGTATTTAAAATAAGACATCCCCGAAAATAAGACCTAGTGTGTTCTTTTGGGGGAAAAAATATATAAGACAGTGTCTTATTTTAGGGGAAACACGGTATTACACCTCTCTCATATCAAATCGCCATATGATGGCAGTGAACATAGACTTGGCTTACACCCTGGGTTTGATGACATGATGGGCTTTGTGGTGAGATCCCAAGAAGCTGCTCCTTGACTCTGCTAGAGCGTCCCGTCATGTGATTTGGGAGGGAGGCTTGATGTCATAAGTGGACTTTGCTGTTCGGTACAACCCATTGAGAAAAGTTATGAGCTGCACAGGGGGTGCATTGTTTTCACTTAGTTGACCGATTCATAGAATGGAAAAAAAAAGTTTTTGTGCCTAGCAAAGTGTACGTTAGTACTTTGGGTGAATGCGTGTTCCTTTTGTATATTGAATTTTGTGCGAGGTTAATTCAAATAATAGGATTGAGTATTTAAAGCCCGAGGCACTGCAAGGGTTAAATGCTCATTTAGGTCTAAGGTGTGAAGAATTTTTCCTTACCTGACCCCCCGCTCCCCCTGGCAGTCAGCACTCCCTTTGTCTCCCCTACGTTCTGGCATATGGGCTGTCCTTTGACGTCCTCTGGTATAGTGCAGAGCTACGGGTCCTGCATTGTACGTGATCATGGACCACTGGAGCACAGGAGGAGAGGCTGAGGGTCTTGGTCTTGAAGCCAGCAGTGGTCAGGTAAGTAAAAGTCCTTTTACACAGGTACCCCAGACCTAAACCACATTTTAACCCTGGCAGTGCAGAGTAGCCCCACTGTAAGGGGAGGTTTTTTTTTTGTACTTGTCTGAGTATAGCTTCGGAGTGAACACAGGTTCTCTTTTCTTTTCCTCCAGTGCAAAGTGAACATAAGATTTGCTAATCAGGGGTATCCACACTCCGGCCCTCCAGCTGTGGTGGAACTACAAATCCCATGAGGCATTGTAAGATTCTCACAGCGACAGACCTGACTCCCGGAGAGAGGCGAATCATGGGATTTGTAGTTTCACCACAGCTGGAGGGCCGGAGTTTGGCTACCCCTGTGCTAAGTGAACAGCCTGAACTCAAATCAACCCCAATTGACTTGCATTGTGACGAGGAGCAGTAAGGCCTCATTCACACGAGAATCGGCCAGCACGTACAGCTGTATCGGGCAGCTCCCGGGAAGGACAGGTGCTGCGTGTGATTAGTACGCAGCCCCCGTCCTTCTCTATGGGACTACGCCGCCCTACGCTCACCCGCCTTGCACGTCCGTGAGGGTGAGCGTACTCGTATGCTGACAGGATGGATCCTGTCTGCGTCCAAGACGGGACACCCGCAGCGTAGGGTGGCGTACGGCTGTGTAGTCCCATAGAGAAGGACGGGGGCTGCGTACTAATTACACGCAGCACCTGTCCTTCCCGGGAGCTTCCCGATACACCCGTGCACGCAGCGTGGCGCTGTACGTGCCGGCCGATTCCAGTGTGAATGAGGCCTAAAGCTCAAGCACTGGTGTAGCACTGCTAAGCAGAATCAGCGGTGTCAAACTCAATTTAATCGTGGGCCGCATCAACATTATGGTTGCCCTCAAAGGTATCTGTAAGACTATATAAATGTATCTAATCTTTATCATAATTGCCTCTGCATTCGATTATCGCTGGTTTTAGTAATAACTTAATACCTAGATCTGAAAGTTGAAGTCTAGGAAATGGCCCGGTGGGCCGGATTCGGCCCCTGGGCCTTGAGTTTGACACATGTGACTTACATTGTAAATGGCTACTAATCTGAGGATTTCCATCATGCTGTTCTCTGTTACAGGTTTCTCTGGAGAACAATGAAAACACTATACGTTTCCTGATGAATATATTTTTATATTAAAACCAAATAAGAGATTCTCTCCTTTCTTCTTTTCCTGCTGTTATAGTTGCTGGTTATACATCCAGCACTGGGATCGGAGTAATAGTAATAATCGTGTTCTGAAACATGCCACCTATTAAAAGCCTTTATTCCTGGGTGTCTATGCTCCGCTCTCCAGGGACCACTGAGGGAAGGTGTTTCGTGTGTGTGTGTTTTCTTTCTTCCTTTCCCCGGGGAAAACATGGAGGATGTCTTTTCATTGCCTGGTTGTCATCCTTGACCTTTGCTTCTATACTGTAAAGCTAAACTCCAGATTAGGCAAATATTGTCTAAATGAGGCACGTGTATTCTTCCTGGAATCTTGGTGAGCTTTGTGTATTTCTTCCAGATCTGTGCTGTAATCCAGTGTGACACTTCCTGTAATAAAGACCGGTCAGTGCTGCTCGCTCGCTCTCTCTCTCCTTGTGCAGGGTGACTGGTCTTGTCTCCGCCCCCTCCTGAAATAAAGACCGGTCACTACTGTTCTCTCTTCTTGTGCAGTGTGACTGGTCTTGTCTCCGCCCTCTCCTGTAATAAAGACCGGTCACTGCTGCTCTCTCTCCCCTTGTGCAGGGTGACTGGTCATGTCTCCGCCCCATCCTGTAATAAAGACCGGTCACTGATCACTGACTGCTTGTACCCGCTCTCCTCTCTGACACGCTGTCGCAGGAGGCTGAGTGAGTAGTGCAGGGAGGAGAGCTCAGCCTCCTGTGACAGCGCAGGCTGTCTCCGCCCCCACACCGGACTGTGATAGGTGGCTGAGCGGTGTGGGAGGAGACACCGGCCGCTCACAGCGCTTTTCCAGCAGCGCTCGGCCGGCTGTCCCTTTCTCTCCTCCCCGCTGGGACACAGAGCAGCGCTCAGCGGGGAGGAGAGAATAGGATGCGCCGATTTATCGGCAAGAAAATGGCACTTTCGGCATTTAGCCAAAATTCAAGACAAGATGGTAAGGAGGGCCCTGCCCGTGAGGGCTTACTTTCCCTCTTGGAAAGCCTGGACACATAATTTGCTCCACTGCAGATTTGTACCTGCTTCTGCCCTGTATATAGTGTAACAGGACAATACATTAACCACAGTAAGCGGGAGTGTCTGCTTCCTATAATCACATTAGGGGTCCCACTTTTGCAAAAAGCAGGTAACCAATCACATGAGCAAGGAATGAAATGACAAGAAATGTTCTGCATCTACCGCTAGGTTTCCCATGATTGCAGGGAAGGGACATTTCAATTTTTAGGCAGATTTGGAAAATGACAGCTGGCTGCAGGCTGATATGGAAGGGTACTTATTAATAATATACTACTTGTGGTTTGCAGTTTTGAAGGGTAACATTTGTTGAATGGGACCATGTAGGGCAGGGATAGGCAACCTCGGCACTTCAGCTGTTGTGGAACTACAAGTGACTGCCAGAGTCTTGCAATGCCTCCTAGGACAAGTATACCTCCCAGAGGCAGGGGATTTGCAGTTTTACTACAGCTGCAGTGCTGAGGCTGCCTACCCCTGACCTAGAGCAACACATGCAATATGCGTGGGAATGTGACCTGTACAAAACAACAAGAAATATTTTGCAATGAATCCTGCAAAACGGGTTCTGGGCTCTATTATGAATGAGGACTTTGCTTCATGCAGTTTCACTATCAACCACAAGATGGTGCTCTAAACATCAGCAACTAGAGATACAGTACAATAAGATGGCTAAGCCAACTTTTGGTACTCTGAGTAATGCAGACCTGCTGAGTACCATTATTGAGTATCCAGGCATTCAGCCAGGGATCCCCAACGCAAATTGCAGGAAGCGTGCGACACAAAACGTGGTCAGCAGCAGTCAAAGCCTTCTCTTCTCATTCCACAGTCGGAAATGGAGGTAAGGGAGATTTCACCTCTTACTGTGATTGTGCTTCTGCTTTAACTACACATCCCATTATGCATCTGGTAATCATTCCTGTGGCTGTCAGCCTTGCAATGCCTCGTGGAACTTGTAGTTGCACAACAGCTGGATGCCCGGAGTTGCCCACTCGTGTCCTAATCAATCAAATTGTTCAAAAGGCAATGCAGAATACACTGATTGTGGATGAAAACAACTAGAGCAACATTGGAAGAGGGACATGGTGCAGCTTTAATAATAAGAACAGTTACTATGACACATGGAAATTCTGCCCCAGGATTAGGAGGTATAGTCAAGCTCTGCTGACTGGTGAATGTCATTAATGTAATTCAAGATGTGTTTAGGTCTTTGATAAGGAATATATATATATACACACACACTATATTGCCAAAAGTATTGGGACACCCCTCCAAATCATTGGATTCAGGTGTTCCAATCACCTCCATGGCCACAGGTGTATAAAAC